CAAGGGAAGAAAAGATGCTTACCATAATAGAAAAATGTAAACGCATAAGCAACAACCCCATGCACAGAATAGCAAATAACTAAAAACCAAGTGACATCCTTTCTAAAGATCCTTTAACATGTGAAATAATCCAGGCATAGAGTACAGACCTATAGCATAACTATACTGTCACACAACAATTCCAGGCATAGACAGAAGGGCCGAAGAATGTGACTTAGTACTGCATGCAAAGACCCTTGAACATGTCTACAACTGTTATCCAAAACCCGAATGGACACACGTATAAATAGATGGATTATTGGAGGGAGCAGGAAAAAAAAAAAAAACAGAGGAGCTGGATCGGTCATCATGCTGCAAGATATGACCACAGTAGAAACTTCATGGGCCTCCTGAAGACTCTTAACAAACTTCAGAGCAAAGCGGCAAGCAATTGTTGATTCAGCTTGATGAAAGAAAAATTAATAACAGCAAAATTGTTTTCCTTTGTGACTGCTTGTCAGTCCTCCAGGTGACTCAGAGGGATCTATAAGACAGCATGGCTCACTGCGGCATACCAGGAAATAAGCTAGCAGACAGACTTGCCAAAAAAAAAAAAAAAAAATAGAACAAAGGAGAACCAACACACCCATCTATTGTCATTACCAGAAATCATAACACTTATCAAGGAAAAAAAAAAGAATTGTGGAGAGAACAAACAGTTAACATCTACAAGACCCTATTAGCAGACTCAACAGAAAGCAACATACAAGAATTTGGCGTCTACGAACAGGACACTGCAGGCTCAACTACGACATGCATAAAATAAAGATTCTACAGTCCCCCTAGTGTGCCTGTCAAATAGGACTACAAAAAACCTGAGTACATTCTTCAGACCTGCCCGCTCTACCTACAACTTCCAAAAGACACCTGGCCTCAACAAGCAAAGTGTGCAGAGCAAGCTATGGGAAACCATGAAGGACCTACTACTGACATGCGAGTTCATAGAGGCAACCCACCTGATGGTCTGATCTGAGCATATGAAACCGAAAGTAAAGAAGAAGAAAAGAGAAAGAAATCTGCCACAAAGGTTGTATGTCCATTTTCCACGCCTTTATGCGTATAGGGCATATAGACCTAATGACATTTGGTAGGTGCTGCAGCATCATGTCTGCCGCCTTTACTTCCTAGGACTGCATTTGGTACCCACTCAAGACTGGGTCGACCTGGAAGTCAAGGTCATTTTTTAAAGAAAAAAGTCTGGCTCCGCCAGGGAGCAAACCCACGACCTCCCGATCCGCGGCGAGCGTCTAGCCGCTCCGCCACGGCGACTCCCTATTTGCCACAATGGTGCCCCTGAACCCACATGGGAAGCGGTTTATAAATATATGAATCTAGTTTCATATATCCCATGTTGTGCTAAAAAAGTAAAAAAAAAAAAACCTTGTTCCACGCTTTTAGGCGTATTGGGAATACAGGGATAAACCTACATTTGTATGGACCAAATGACACTTGGTGGGTGCTGCAGAAACACACCTGCTGCCTTTACTTCCCAGGACTGCATTTGGTACCCACTCAAAACTTGGTCGACCTGGGAGTTAAGGTCATTTGTGGAAAAAAAAAATAGTCCGGTTCCTTCAGGAACGCGAACCCACAACGTTGAGATCCGCAGGCGAGCGTCTAGCCGTCAACACCACGGAAATCTCCAGTTTAAAAAGAAGTGTTAACAATTAGCTACAAAACATACCTGTGTCACAGGGCCTGCCATTTCCCGAGTCAAATACGCCAGCCCAATTATGCCTGCTCCGTACACACATACTGGGTTAAAAATGGAAATAAAATAGATTTCTCTAAACATTTGTTTTCAGTTATCCGATCAATCTCATTATGTATACGATTTTAATAAAGCATATTCTTTCTTTGCACTGAGTAATCATTTTTTTTTTAAATATATATTTTTTTTATACCTCTGGACAATATACAGCTGTGAACTTGCTGGTAACCTAAATCAAAATAAAAGGTATGAATTGCACTTCTGGAAGCTGTGTAACAAAAGGAAAAAAAAGAGGGTGGGGGTGTTAGAGCAATTATGTAATGGGCACAGAATTTCAATTCTGATCACACACACACACACACACACATACACATACACACACACACACACACACACATATATATATATATATATATATATATATATATATATATCGATATATCTTTTCCGCACACAAAGCTGTGGTACTATTCCCCACACCACCTCCCCTTTCCCACACACATACACACACAAATTCGGCAGCTGATTCCCGTATTAAGACGTCCGTAAAGCTCTTACCAATACACTTGGAGATGGCGGTGACAACAGATTCCCGTTTATTGGCCAGAACACCACCTAGAAAATCTTCAACTGTGTTTGCTGCTAGAGAGTTGATCCCTGAGGACAGCGTGCTGAAAACAGTGGTTAGTGTAATGAAATATGCTCTAGCTCAGAGCAGAAAAAATGTAAAACAGTGTGGCTTGAGAGACAGAGAAAGTGAGACAGATAAACAATCATTTACATACGCAAAAACACTCCAACATCATCATCATATTCATCATCATCATCATCATCATCATGGTATACTTTTAGCCGTCACATTTGGCTCACAGTCTAGTCTTCCATTTCGTTCTATCGTGTCCAGTTCTCTCGATATCGGGTAGGAAATCCAGTCCAATGTCTTTGGACCCTCTCAGCAACGTTCGTCTTAGGGTTTCACTTTTGCGTTCTCGTTTCTTTGATCCATTTGTTTACTGTTTTATTGCCTGTTTGTATGTTTATTCTCTGTCCACTTCTGCCACCATGCGGATCACCCTTGGAGAGATCCCAGAAACCGCGTTCAGCCATTAGACCATATTTATGCTATAGTGCGATCTCTGGTAAGACTGACTGACTAACTTTCTACCCCACCATGACATCACACAAGCGATAAACACCCGATGACATAAAGTGCCACCATGTGGATGAGGTCCCAGAAACCGCGTTCAGACAATTGGCCATATTTATTATGGCCTGCCTATATTGTGGCCCCTGGCAAAAGCCAGGGTGGGGCTTCGAATAACAAAAAAAAAATTCGTCCTAAAAATGACGAAGTATGTGTGTAGTAATAGTCAACCCTGACAAGACTCAGAGTAGGGCTCATATAACGAAAAATTGCATCCCTGAAAGGAATCACAAGATTACCATATACACTGTCCCTTTATTTTTTCAACATAACTCCCACCAACAGTGATGCACTTGTCCCATCGTTTTGTCAGTCGGCCGAAACCTGCTGCACACAAGGACCGACAATTAAGTAATGAGACTAATTTTTAAAAAAATTAAAATAATCAAAGAAGATATAACCTGTTTTTTATTCAAAGTAAGCACCTTGTTCATCGATTCAGGGAGTAATAAACACTGGAAAAACTTAGGTAGTTCTTCTGTAGGTATATCCCTTTAAAGTCGATATTGCGGCCTTTTGGATGTCATCAATATCGTTAAAGAAGCGGCATTTTAAGGGTAACTTTAATTTTGGAATTAGAAAATAATCACAGGAAGACAAATCTTGGGAACAGTGTGGATGGTTTTGAAATAACTTTTGTTTCTGGACCAAAAATTCCTGTTCAGGAGAGCCGGTGCATTTTCATAAAAAAAATAAAAAATTTGTCAGTTGTTAAATATTTGGTTCGAACTCTGAGAATCCTTTTCAATACACTTAAATAACCTGTAGCTGTGGCAGTCAGCCCCTTTGGAATAAATTCTTCTCTTTACTTTCGACTTTTGAGGACCTATTTTTTTTTCTTTCGGTGATGATGATAACTTCCACTGAGCACTTTGGCGTTTAGTAGTTAGCGGTATCCTTACGTCCTTCTTAGGACGTAATTTTTTGTTATTTGAAGCCCCACTCTGGCTTTTGCCAGGGGCCTCAATATAGGCAGGTCATCATTATGGCCAAATGTCTGAACGCGGTTTCTGGGACCTCTCCACAGTGATCCTCATCCGCATGGTGGCACTTTGTGTCATTGGGTGTTTATCGCTTGTGTGATGTCCTGGTGGGGTAGAAATTCAGTCAGTCAGTTGGCGTTTAGTTATGGGACCATAGCAAAAAATCCATGTTTCATCCTCTGCAACAATCTAATTTAGGAAATTTATATTTCTTTGACACGTTTTTATTATGTCTTTTGCGTACCCAAAACGCTGATGTTTTTGGACATTAGACAAGGAATGTGGTACAAACCGGCAAGCAACTTTTTTCTTACCCAAATCTTCCACAATATTTTTACGAATGGGGTGTTTTTCTACAGGCAAACTATGATGAAAGCAACGTTCTATAAAGGAGCTGCTACGTGATGATGACAAATTATGGGCTGACAACGTTTCGACAAAACATCTTCACCAGCTACCCTTAAATAACCACCACCTATGTTTACACATGTAGATAGTATAAGTACATAACAAGTACCTTAAGGATGCAGAGAAAACCGAAGCCATGTAGAGGCCCGGTAGTCCGGGCAAAAAGCTCAGCGAGTGTATCACAAAATAGGGCATCAGCTGCAAAATTAAACCACTGTTAGTTGTGGCGTATACGTCGACCTGGCATACAAGTCGACCTCAATTTTTTAGCTCAAAATTCTGATTGAGGCCTATATCAAACTAACACATTTATGCCCGCCTTATGAGTCGACCCCTGGTATAAGTGAATATTTGTAAGGCTTGAAAATGTGACTTATATGCCGCTATTTACGGTAGTAATATGTTTTCTAAATATATTTGTCCCATGAAGTTTTCTTTAAGAATTCATTTATTTTATTAGGTAAAAGTTAAAACATTCATGTGGGCATGGTGATTGATTTATTGACGATCAACCCCCACCAGGACATCACAAAGAACGATAAACACTTAGTGACACAAAGTGCCATCATTCGGATGAGGATCAACCGTGGAGATGTCCCAGAAACTCCTTTCACCCCATAGGTTGGGTTATATTAGGGCCCCCGGCAAAAGTCGGAGTGGGGTTTCAAAATAACGAAAAATTGCGTCCCACACGGGGATGGACTCTCAATTATTATATTGGGCATGGTAACATATTTATATATATATATATATATATATATATATATATATATATATATATATATATAAATATATCACTAAAACAAATCGGTGAAGCAACTGAAAGGACTTTGAGCTGGCTCTGGACACAGCGGAAGGTCGTGGAGGATAGGTAGAGTCCTTAATGAAAAAAAAAAAAACTTTTTATCCCTGTAAAACCAAAGTGTCCGATAAATGTCTGCGTCTCTCTGCCAAATGCCAAAAGTCTAACACCTGCCTGATGAACCAGTCGTAAGCTTGTCACTCTGGTCTCACAATACCTGTTGCAAAGTCAGAATATCATCTTGTCCCTGTCCGAGAGTCCAATAAAGCAGAGCAGGAAAAGATCGTGACCTGGAGTCATGACCCAGGTCGGCCCACTTTCCAAGATTGTCTAGTAAGTAATAGGCCAAAGATCGGTCACGTACTCAGAATGGACATACAGAGACTTCCCCACCAGGCCTTTATATGGTTACCAGAGGGTAAAAGAAAACAGGGAAGACCAAAAGAAACTCTCCGTAGAACCATCACAAGGGAGAGCTCAACCATAGGTCTCAGTCGCACTCAAGACCTACATCAAGTGGCAAAGTACCGACAGACGTGGAAAGCTATGACCTCTGCCCTATGCGCCATCTTTGGCACAAGAGGAATAACTAACTAAACTAACTAATAGGCCAAAACAATCGTCGATGAGAGGTCTTTCTCCTCAAAAACGGTAGACCCCTGCTGTGTGCATACTCCCAAGTGGAGCTCTTATTATGTCAGTTAATTGGAAAAGGATGGCGTGGAAGGCGGGGAGGGGGGGGGGGGGATGCTGTAAAAACTAACACTAATGTATCATGATGTGAAGTGTGTCGTGTCTGTGTGTATTTGTTTCGTCCAGAAAGCAACTTGAATTACTGCTGCACAGGAAGACTCTAGATCATTGATGCAGGAAATATTTGAGAATTATTGGGGGGGGGGGAGGGGGTGGGGGGGGGTGGCGAGGGATCTGTTTAAAGCTTTCCTATATGGCAAGAGACTTAAGCATGGTTTAAGCGCGTATTAATTTTATTATTATTATTATTGTTATTATTATTTTTATTATTATCACTCTTCGTAACTGCGAGGTATTCATTTCGATCAGAGCTGCAGACGACTTGGCAGCAGACTACTTTGCTTTGATTTCGACAGTGGAATCAAGAGCCGACCGCTCATGTGAGATGGCAAACTGCTGAGAGTAACACTGGCTGTGAAACCAGACAACCAAGGTTGGTTCTGTAGGGTCAGGTAAAGGTTACGGACTTTACCTTCTTTTTTTGTTACTGCTGGTGCTGCTGCTGCTACTACAACTATTGAATCTCTAATAAATGAAATATATATATTCTTTAAAATACGAAATTTATAATTCAACTATTAACAAGAGCACAGTCTGTCCATGGTTAGGTGGGCCATTTATTCCAACTGAAAATGTTCTAGAGGGTGGTAGGTTCAGTTGCCCACCCACCCCACTCTTTTGTATCCTTGAAAAATAAATGCTGATACAGTAGGATGTTTCAACCCCCCCCCCCCCCCCCCCTAGGGTGCACCGTCTATGTTTCAACATATCTTTTTTTTCCGAAAACTGTACCTACCATTGCTGGTTGTTTTTTCACGCCTCTGTAAAAATAAACATTTCTGTAAAGACTTTTGCGATGAGTGTGTGTGTGGGGGGGGGGGGGGGGAGGGGGGGGGGAAGATGGCTGAGTTAACAACACTGGTCACTCATTTGGGAGACGCAACTTCGAATATTCGGTAAAGCTGTGGCTACAGCACTAGCCATGCGACCATAAATAGCAGGCTCAAGGACACCACGCTCCCCCCCCCCCCCCCCCCCCCCCACCATTTTGTTTTCTTCATTCTCACAAACTTTAATCTCACATCAGCTTTCCAACCCAGGAACCACGTTCAACACACACACACAAAATACAGTTATTTTAATGCAACCGACGGTTACATAGCAACGTGCAGTCTAATGTCGGTGGGTTACATAATCGTTACTGTAATAATTCACAGAGTTTGTTGAGAATGGTTGAGACAGCTTTTCGTCCTGTATAGTAGCAACTTCACTTCAGAGATCCCAGCTACTTATAGTCCTTTGTGTATTTTCTCCGTGAAATTCAGGTGTAATGGGAAATAAATTTGCAGACTGACTGGACTTTGGTGGATATTGATGCATCAGAAGCTAGATATGGTGAAGGGATTTTGTAGCTCGCGGACAGTGTGAAAGCACAAACATACAATCACAATCTGAAAAGAATGATGTAGCGGAGAGTGACCATCTGATAAGCTACTCAATACTCAGGACATACGATTAGACTGTTACTGATAATTTAGGTATTGGATCTCTACGATGACTGCTGAAGATGGGGACTGTGCGCTTATAGAAATGTCCCAATTGCTGTGATAGCATTACTGCTCAGCTTCATTTAATCTCACCTGGTTCCTGTTCTTGATGTATCCAGCCTTGAGGGGGTCACACCGAATGCTCACGAAATACGCCAGGAGAACTAGACCAGTGAAACTCATGATCACATGATACGTGGATGCCAGAAACATGCACAACACAAAGGACCTGTCAAATAGTTCATTTTTATATTTAACGGCTATCACAATTATGTCTGTAACCGTTTTAAGTACTGATGTTCTCTGATAATTGCAGATGAAAGTTGTTTTAAAGTTATATTTAGAATCGCTCAAGAAAAGAATAAAAAGCATTTCGCTTGATTTATAATACTTCATGTAACCTATCTTTGTCAGTTAAGGTGAGAAACGATCCGTGCTTAACTTTTTTTTAAATCGTCACGTTCAACCAGCATCCCCGAAGGGGAAGCCTTAGGTTATAGTTGTGACTATGTTATTTAGGCGATATAAGTTGAGTTAGCTTTGCACGACACCAGGAGCCCTGAAAAAGATTCTTGCAGTGTTAATGCAAACAAAGGAGACAGACCCAAATACTGTCCCGACCGACGACGAAGTCGTCTACCGGCTAGCGAATTGGTGACCTGGTCGCTAATCAGGTGGGAAATGTTGGTCGTAGTAGCTTATAGAGCCAGTGAGGATGTACAGAAAAGTTCACGGAGCCTAAGCTGATTAGTATTAAACACACACACACACACAAACGCACACACAAACAGAAAAGCTGCACATATGTAGTTCGTAGACGAGCGATAAGAACATCATAGAAAGATTAGATGCACATTGAAGATGTTGTGAGGAAAATAAAATGACCAACAGAATTGGTTACTCACAATAGAGGGAGACAATCTATATTATTTGATCATAACGCGCGATGGAGAAACTGGATATGTGGTGACAACAGGAGAGTTTTAGTGTAAGAGAGGTAGAACGACACTCCTGAACTGGGCACACAACCGACATTTTAAATCAGCCTTCATGTTGTGATACTGTGGCTAAATGCTCTCGTTTCCCATAGAGCCTAGAAAAACGCTGTCTCAAGATTATTATATGTACAGTTGACAAACAGAAATGAACTAGTGACTAGGGCAACCAAAAACAATTGACAGTAACAGAATAAACATAATTGTCTTCCTCCACTTTCCCTTTTTGTGATAAGCGTTGTTAGGAGTTGTGTGGTTCATCCTTTGATGTATAGCACTGATTACTGTAATTCCCAATTGATGTCTACTGTCTGTAATGCCATCAGTCCATCTTTACTTTCAGCGCTTACTTTTTTCTCATGTTAGACCTTCGTGTAAAGAGGCTGTATTGTGGGCAAATTCTATCCAGATGATTAAACATTTGGATCTTCTGCTTCGCGGTTGGTTTGGTGCAAGGTGTTCCATAGTCTGACAGTTTCATCTCTCATGCGGTCTCGGGTAGTTAAGCTGGCGGCTTTTCTCAAACATCTCATCTCACGTGTGCCAATTTTAGATAAGGGAGCCTTTGATAATGTCCAAGTTTTGCACAGGAAGCATAGTCCTGGTTTTAATATGATGTTTGTAATCTGTTTTTATGTGCTCAAACTTATTTATGGCTGCCTTAAAAGCAGTTTAAGTTGATATATAAGTGCACTGGCCTTTGGTCTCGTTTCTTTCTCATGAAGAGCATCTTAAGCAGTATAAATCAATTATTAGAAACAGGAGAATTTATATTTTTACGATGCATATTCCACATTTATAACACTTGACTATGAAGTACAATTAATAAACAAACAAACGCACAACCAAACAAAGACTGGCAGGTAAAAAAAAATGATGAATTAAGAATTGACATTATAGAACTCGGAATACTATCATAAGCGCTCCTTCCATATCTTCAGCAGCAAAGCGAAAATTTCCAATTCCGGTGACATCTTTAACTGTCTGATTGTACATCTGTCTCACCTTTCTATCAAGTGCTAAATGTAGGCCAGATCCCCTGGTAACTCCCCGTAGCGCCATTCTTCTCAGACCGTAATGAACTATTTGTGGCTCCGCACTGTTTCTTACTCCCAAGAAGAAAAGAAAAGAGAACACATACAAAAGTTTCATAGTAACTTACATTCGGGCATGTTTTTCGTATCTGATGGAGACAATTCGCTGTACACTGGACTGTGAGAATAGAAAACCCAGGCTGTTGACCGCTCCACTGAAGACCAGCCCCCACACAGTGTGGCGGACACGGGGATCCGGGTTTATACTGTTATCGTACAAAAGATAAAGTAGGTCATAAAACAAAACAAAAAAGTGATTGTTGGCTGTTGTGTTTTAATTTGTGTTGTTGATTACGAGATGAGTTAACTATTTTCAAGCTAAATCAAATCCTAACGACATTCTAGTAGTGGGTTATATTACTTGTCTTTCAACTCCTTATCTCTCATCTTCTAGTCCAAAATGGTTGATAGATGAAAATACTTCTTTTTTTTCATGTTTGTTTCTGACATATGTTGACTACTGCATCCCCCTTTCCCATATATGAGCCTAATGTATACATCGCAAAACTACTGAACTGAGTGCTGGACGTGACACTGTGAGCTGCAAATTTATTTTGGAGTGCTTATCGAACTGTGTCGGCTCTGTGGCTACGTCGATGTGAACGCTTCGTATTGCAGGCATGCTAGGTTCGATACTAGCTGCGTACCATGCGCCTTACGTTGGTTTCGACTGGTATCAAGAAAGCCGACCGTCCATGAGCAATGGCAAACTACTGGACGTAAATTTGCCTAGAAAAACCACACAACAGCCACGTGCTGTTGGGGTTGGTTCTGCAACGTCCTGCAAAGGATACGCAACTAAACTATCGAACTGTACCCAGTGTGGTTTCTGTTGCAAACTGCAGGTTCGGAAGATGACGATGGCGTGTTTTCACAGAAAAGATGGTACCTTGTAACTTTTTTTTTTTTTTTGAAAGCAGCTATTGCTTTGTTGTCACCGATCCTTCCACCTAAAACGAACCGCCTTTCTAGTGCCTGACTGTAAATCATGTAACTTCTAACTATTGCCTTGTGCATTTAATGCGTGTGTATGCTACTTGCTTTGCTGAGACTGAGGTCTGTGTCATTTTATTTTTCAAGGACAGCTCTCGTTATTCTTTTTTTTTTTTTTTTTCTGGCACGACAACGGAGCAACTAAAGGGTGGAGCGTTTGGATGTGCGATTACCTGATTACTGGTCTTTGCTTTCGATAAACAAACAAGAAACAATGTAATTAGTCTTTCCTCTTGAGCCTATGGCAGGGCATTTTTGTTTTTTGTTTTTAGTATCCTGAAGCCATGAGTTGTTAACCCTTAGGATCGGTAATATGGATATCGCAACCTTTCGGCCTTGATTCCATTTTAAAAACCGTAAATCTGGGAGAAATGTGGCTTTTTTGCCCACCCCGGGAGTGAAACCGGACCACAAGGAGTTCGTCACCCGCTCACTACGCAATCCGGTTTAGCCAACTACGCTAGAGAGACGGGCATGGCGGGGCATAGGGCAGAGGTCATAGCTCTCCATGTTTTGCGGTTCGTTGCCACCTGTTTTAAGTCTTGGATTTTCATTATGACCATTCTTAAGCCTTCTCTCATGATGGTTCTTTTGTAGGGTCTCTCTTGGTCTTTCTCGTTTTCTTTTCCCTTCCAGTGTCCACATGAGGGCTTGTTTGGAGTGTCTTGTCCTATCGATCTGAGTGCATGGCCAATGTAATTCCAGCGGCGCTTTCTTATAAAATTAAATACATGATCTTGCTTGGTCTCTTGCCTTATTTGCGTATTCGATCTAAAATCTGTTAAGTGGAAATTCCTCATTCTTCTGAGACATCTGTTCTCAAAATTTTCTATTTTTTTTTTCTAGAGCTTCTGCTGCTTTCCAACTCTCGCATCCATAGGTTTCTAGAAACAATACTATATTGTCAAAAATTTACAGCTATATGATATTGTCTGCATTGTTCAGCATAGGTGCCGAAACCTCAGGTTCAGAATCCTTAAGCACCTTCCCTCCCCCTCCCACCCAAACACACACAAAATTGTAAGTGAACGAAGCGGTCTTCCTTCCCCTAACAAAGAAAAATAATTTTCTTATCAAGTATTTTAAACCCTCAAACCCCCCCCCCCCCCTTTCTCCCCACCACTTTCCCCTAAATTCCCTTCGAACATTTTTAAGATTTTTTCTTCCCATTCCCTACAAGTCTGAATGCGTAATGACGCTGAAATAATTTACTCACTCAAAAGTAATTATCCTTCCATTATCCGAAGCTGTTCGAAAAACGGTTCTCATGCCACCGACATCCACAGATCCCTATAATGTACACAAAAGTATGTAAATAACAGTGCAATGGAATGTGGTCTTAAGCAGTTAATTTAAAATTGTGGAGCAGACGGAATTGACGATAATTATTAAGTGCACAGTCGACTAATGAAACATATGTTTAATTAATGGACATCTGTTCAATGTAGGAGCTAGCTTTAAAGCAGTCGACCTAGAAAATCTAGAAAATGAGGAACTATACATTCCGAGGAAGAATTAGATCCACACACAAGTTAGTTAGTCGACAGATTATCCTCATTGCACTTCAAACCACTCAGTCCATAAGTGCTCGGATCCCCTCCTTAGTAAATCCCACAGCGTGTAACGGCTAACGACCTGTTCAGAGTTGATTTATTATTATTCTTTGGCTACCCGCGTAGTGTTGTTGTTTGGAGACACCCCGTCTAACATTTTGTTTTTTTGCATTCTGACCATGGTTGCAGATTCACAGTTCTCAGTTGGTCCATGCAAACGTCTTAACTCTCTTAGAGCATTTAGTATATCAGCCTGGTCCAAGGCTTGTCCGGCTTTCACAGTAGCCTTACGTGTAAGTCTATCAGCTTGCTCCTTTCCTTGTACCCTCACATTTCCTGGCACGAAAAGAAAACCAATCCTTGTCAGCCGTGAACTGTGTAGAGCCACCAACCACTGCCTTCGGACCCAGCCCTTCTCTATCTTCCGCTCACAATAAATAACCTACTATTTGCAGACGATCAATGCCTGTTCTACAATGAGGGAAGTAGACTTCAAGTACATTTGAACAGGCTAAGTTCAACATGCAGAAGATATAACATTTAAAAAATTACTACAAAACTGAAGTAATGCATATCAGCAGAATTCCTAGTCCGCTCCACACAGTGTTGAATGGTACCTGCTTGATTTGATTGATTTGATTTGATTCAAGAACCGACATCACAGCACTCAGGGCTCCGTCCCCATTTTCAGCAGCCGGCGAAAAGTTCCGATACTAATGGAGCCAGTAGCATTATGATTAAACGTCCGTCTGGCCCACGAAGCTGCTAGAAGTGCAGCACCAATTCAGAAAAGACACGCCAGGAAAGACACTGAAGCAGATTACAAAAGAGATGAAAAGTTTCTATTCCCTCTCCACATTGCTCAAGAACTTTCAGTGTTATAACTGGCCTTATCAGCCATCTGCGCATTCACAAAACACAACCCAGTCACCAATGGATGGAAGGATTGGTCATCATCTTTGTGATGGACGAACAGCAACAGTATTAGTGGCGGTAGTGGTGGTAGTAACAGTAGTAGTAGCAGCAGTAGCAGCAGCAGCAGTAGTAGTAGTAGTAGTAGTAGTAGTAGTAGTAGTAGTAGTAGTAGTAGTAGTAGTAGTAGTAGTAGTAGTAGTAGTAGTAGTAGTAGTAGTATTAGTAGTAGTAGTAGTAGTAGTAGTAGTAGTAGTAGCAGTATCTGTTGGTATTTTTATCGTTTAAGTCTGTTCTGTGCAATTCTGTGAAAACAGACGATTTGATCAAACTACAAAATGTCAATAGGATGAGTTATAGTAGGATCAAATATATCTAGTGCGTGTGTGGGAAAAAACAGGGGGGGGGGGGAGAGGGACCAGTGTTGAAAAACATTTTCCTTTCTGCCAAGGGTCAATACGTTATTTGAAATATTATTTGCGAGCCTTATACGAAGATCAAGTGGCAAGCATACCTTCAGAGGTCCCGGGTAGTTAACATCCTTGGGATATTTTCTCAAGGCTATGACGGTGTGCTGGGAAATGGGCAGGCATATAGACTGGCCGGTCCTGCACCGCTTGATGGTGAACTGGTGTATGACAAGCTGGATATTGTGAGGGCTCTTTGGTGGCGATTAAACAGTGCAGAGGCACAGACAGATCATTACGGTCTGGGGAGAATAGCGCTGCGGGTAGTTACAAGGAGATCTGGCCGACGTTCAATACTTAGCGGAAAGGCGAGACGGACTTACAGTCAGACAGTTACTGGTGTGGTTGGAATTGGAACTCTTCGCTTGCTGCTGAAAAGGGGGACGGATAGCTTATGTGGGTGTGTCGCGAGCGCTGTAATGTCGATTCAACATACGAAGATCAATTTTTAAATTGTTCTGCAATAAGAATAAACTCCACAGGGGAGCATGTACAGCAGGAGTCTACCAATCATCAGTAGAAGTAATTTCTCGTCGACAAATGTTTCGGCCCACGAGCTCCTAGACATTTTCAGAGAGTGGGCCCACCTGAGTTCATGAGGCTCAGGGTTGGTTTCTCCTTCCGCACGTATTACCGGATGTTATTCGGACAGGGACACGACGAATTGGTGCTTTTGCGAAAGGTACTGTGAGATAAGAAGTCGTTTGGGTAGCATAATTAAAGCAGATTGGTTTACCGGACACATGTTGGACTTGTTGCAATATCTGAGCAAACATTGAACTACAGTTGCTTTGGCAGGTTCAGACCAGAAGAATTTGGGAATTCTTGTATACATTCAGCGGGCCAGAAGTTCTCCATATGTTCCCTTATCAATGTTGGCATTTTTAATTAAAAAGAGCGAACATGTATATTTTATAGTCTTTTATAAAGTGTACTGTAAAGTTGTTTCCGCTGGCAAGACATACCATGGCTGCTTTGGGATAACTCCGTTAAGTGATTTTGTGTATTTATGTGGGTTTGTTTGATTTATGTAGGTGATGATGAAGGCTCTGTGGTCGCAGCGTTGACTTTTCTTTTGCATTTATTATATCGCGAAGCTTGCTAATCTACTTGTCGTTCCGTTTTATATATATTCTCTCTCTCTTTCTCTTTCTCTCTCTCTCTCTCTCTCTCTCTCTCTCACTCTCTCTCTGTCTCTGTATCTCTTTAGAACATCTAGCTGACGGCCTGCTGCAAGCGTCGCACAAAACAGAACATTGTAGCTCCGACGACGATCCTCAGTGATCTCCTTAAAAACTGCACTCGTGAACTGAAGCCATGCTGGAGTAAAATGAAACCATGACCTTAAGAGGTCAAGGCAAACGGCATAGCCGCCTTACCACGGAGACCCTGTGAGATAGGTTGAGCTCTATTTGGTTTTACTGCAGAGGAGCACCTTTGATGATTTCTGAGGAAGTGTGTTCCAAGATCAGGTTTCCACCTGCGAGCGATAAGGTGGTGTGGTGTAAGTTGAAGGCTACATTATGTGAGGTACTTAAACAAGATTTAAGCAAGAAGTCGTTAGGCGACAAGCTTACAAAAGTTGGTGATGTTATATATGAACACTGCTCCCGCGAGTTCGGGACAGTGCAGAATTCACAGCCGGGTGCCAAGCAGAATACTAGCAGGAGGCAGAGGGACATTCTGAAGTGTCGGGCAGACAAGAATGCCCTCAGAAAACGGTTCAAAGCCGCTACAGGTAGCGAACGGGAGGGGCTGTACGAAGTCTGGTTGCATTTAAAGAACAGACACAGTGCCCTCTGTCGCGCTGAGCGTTTCTGTGCCAACAGACGGAGAACCAAAAGGGAGCGAGAGAAATTCTTTAGGGACCCGTATCAGTTTGCCTGAGGTCTATTCGAGCAACCGAAGTCTGGGACTCTGGTTGTCAGTCAGGAAGAACTTGAGTCACATCTACGCAAGATGTACTCCGAAAAAAAGAGGAGAGAGCCTCTCGATGACAATCCAGAGATCCTTAGCGGAATCAAGCAGCCTTCGGTGCCGAAGGTACCATTTAAAATGATACCTCACCTTTGGTCTGAGGTTGAGGAAGTTGTGAAAAAGGCCAGCGGCAAGTCTGCCCCAGGTCCGAACGGTGTTCCGTACGTTTTTTACAAGCGCTGCCCGAAAATCCTAAAAATGCTTCACGTCTTGTTGAGACAAGCGTGGATCCGCAATCACATATGTCCAGAGTGGTCAAAGGCAAATGGGGTCTACATTCCCAAAGAGCAGGACTCGAAGAGTCTTTCCCAATTCAGGCCCATCTCGCTGTTGAATGTCCCAATTCAGGCCCATCTCGCTGTTGAATGTCGAGGGTAAGATATTCTTCTCGGTCATGGCTCGCCGGCTCACACAGTATCTGATGGCAGACAAGTGCATCGATACGAGTGTTCAGAAGGGTGTTATTCCAGGCGTTCCTGGGTGCCTTGAACACGCGACCATGATTTGGGAGGCTATCCAGAGAGCCAAGCATGAGAGAACACAATTGCACGTGATATGGTTGGACTTAGCCAACGCCTACGGGGCAGTCCCCCATAGGCTACTGTGGCGAGCCCTTCGCATGTTTCACGTACCGGCACAGATCAATCAAATGATCGAGCAATATTTCTCCAAGTTCGCTTTGCGCTTCTCTACCTCGACGTTTACCACGAGGTGGACTGAGTTGCAGATTGGGATAGCTATGGGGTGTACGATCTCACCTATACTGTTTGTCATGGCCATGCAGATCATGTTAGACGGGGCGGCCGGCTACGGACTGGGCCTTCAAATAGGGGATCACTGGATGCCGCCACAACGCGCATTTATGGATGACACGACTATAATAACGGGCAGCGAGGAGTCTGCCCGCACGATCCTGAAAAGATTGGACGCGGTGGTCCAATGGAGCGGTATGCAGTTCAAACCGTAGAAGTCGAGGAGTCTGTCAATCCTTAAGGGCAAGGTGTCGGCAACCAGTTTTACGGTGGCAAGGAACAAGATCCCCACGGTTCTGGATGAACCGGCGAAGAGCCTCGGTCGCGTTTACGATTTGAAGTTATCTGATAGAGCGGAGGTCCGGCGAATAAACGAGTCATTGGCTACAGGCCTGCTCGCGATCGAGCGTTGCAGGCTGGTCGGGGAATTCAAGGTATGGTGTCTCCAATTCATGTTGATTCCAAAGCTCCTAGTTCCACTGTTAGTCTACGAGGTGACGATGACTGCAGTGGAAACCATGGAGAGGAAAATCAACACAGCCTTGAGAAAGTGGATTGGTGCACCGCTTTGTCTGACCGACGTGGCTCTGTATTGCAAGCAGGCTAAGCTGGTACTCCCGTTCAAATCGATAACCGAAGAGTGTAAAGTTGGCAAAGTAAGACTCGCCATGCTCTTGCGCGAGTCTTCAGACCCAAATGTCATCGCTGTCCAGCCCGCTCTAAAGACTGGCCAGAAGTGGAGAGTCCTCGATGCGATAGAATCTGCCCAGAATGCACTAAAATTTAAGGAGATAATGGGATACACTCAAACCGACCGTCGGGCCTAGGGCACGGGAAGGTCAATTGGTGGTCAAAGGCCTCAGCCAAAGAGCGCCAAGACATGGTAATACAAATGGTGAGGGACAACGAAAACGAGGTTCGCGTTCAGAAAGCAGCCCAGCAGTCGCAGCAGGGCCATTGGGTCAGCCTGGAGAGCGCATTGCCAAGAATACTCACATGGGGTGAGATCTGGCGGATGACCCCGCTGCGACTGAGCTTTATCGTTCGTTCGGCGTACGATGTATTACCGTCCGGTGTTAACATGGTTAAATGGTCTGCGACTAACGATCCGACTTGCCCGTTGTGTAAAGCGAAGCAGACTCTTGAACACGTCCTGTCCGTGTGCAGGAAAGCCCTAGGTCAATGCTGATATACCTGACGACACAACAAGGTGCTAAAAGATTTAGCAGCCGTTGTTGACCAGGCTAGAATGGGGGCTAACGCCAGAGCCAGTTCTACCATCGTCCCCATTCTTTCCTCAAGGCTGGACAGGTTCCAAAAGGTAAGGTCAACCAAAACGCATTCGCTCCATCTGTGCTAGACTCTGCGAGGGACTGGTTACTGGCGGTTGATCTGCCGGGCCATGAAAGGTACCCCGAGTTGATCCGGAAGACCGGCCTGCGACCTGACATAGTTCTCCACTCTGCGCAAAAACGGCAGCTCATCCTGATTGAGTTGGCCGTCCCGTATGAGTCGCGTATGGAAGAGAATCACACGTATAAGCTCGAGAAATACAGTGATTTAGCAGCCGGTCTGAAGAGAAACGAGGCGTACACAGTACGGGTCTTTGCCGTCGAAGTGGGAGCGAGAGGCCTCGTTTCCACTTCGCTCTACAATGTGGTTAAAGAACTAGGATTGCGCGGTAATGAACAGAAACGAACACTAAAAAAACTGGGCGAGGTAGCCGAAAGGGCCTAGAGCTGGCTTTGGACGCAACGCAACAACGTAGGGGACGGGCCTTGGTGAGCTCGTCCGGGTGTCTAGCGGAAAAGGGTTTCTCACCCCTTGAAAGTCCATCGTGTCCGAATTGTCTGCCAGTGATCCTCTGCCACCTGCTAATAAAGTCCAACATGTGTCCGGTAAACCAATCGTAAGCTTGTCGCTCGGTCGTACATGTATGATGACTGCTTTAATTAGGCTGCCGCGACGACTTCTTATCTCACAGTACCTTCTGCAAACCACCAAGTCGTCTTGTCTCTATCCGAAAGAAAAACACCATCTGGTAATTTCGTGCAGCAGGGTACCAGCCCTGAGCTTCATGAACTCATGTGGGCCCACCTCCGAAAGTGTCTAGTAATCGTGGGCCGAAACACTTGTCGACGAGGATAATTTCTACTGACGACTGGTAGATCCCTGCTGTACTTGCTCCCTGTGAGTTTATTCCTATTATCATACGCACATGCCCCAAACCTTAACTAATTGCCTGGACATCTAGTTTGACTCTGCATGCAGTAGGTGGCATAGAGTGTCAAGGGAATTAAAGCAGCCATTATCACCTATTGAGTCTGACTGGTATGTACAAATATGGCAAGAAGTAGTAAATACAACATAAAATGTGACTAGAAAGTTCCACGGAGGTAATGAAAAAGGCACCACAAATACAACCGAACATTTCAACAAAAGTCTTCATCAACAAAGTACTAAATGCAACACAAACTGTTGCTGAAAAACAAAGCTTATAAACAACCGAGGTCAAAATAAAACCAAGAAATAAGTAATAGAAACAAATATACGGACATTTGTATTACGAAACGAAATAAGTAAGAAGGCGTTTGGGGGGGGGGGGGGGACAGAACGGGGAGAAATATGCACAAGTTAAATTATCAAATTAATAAAATTATATATAATAAACAAGATAAAATGATATAAAATTTGAAGAAATATAATACAAATACAGGTTTAGCGCCACATGCCCAAAGCACCAGGGGTTAGATGGGTCCTTTACATTTCCTAACTTATGACTGTAGAGATCTGTAAAGAACATTAACTCTAGGTCTACTTACCTTGAGGAGAATGACAACGATTCCACCAAATATGATAACGGTCTGAAAGACATCTGTCCAGACAACACTTTTGATACCACCCTGATGACAAATGCGCAGCTAAAACAATAACTAAAACAAAGGATAATGTTGATACAAGCATGCACTAACAGTCTGACATTTTCATTGCTTTGGTAATTAGTCATTACTGATAAATGTCTCTCATTTTTTGTAAAACAGTTGGGACAACATTCTGACCGAGTCTGTGACGTGCTATAATCCGTTTATATTCTTGGTGCCCCTAGGTGCCGGCGTTACCAATAGTCTAGTCATCTCCTTGTGAGATGTTATTTTTCGTTATTTGAAGCTCTACTCTGGCTCTTGCCAGGGGCCGCAATATAGCCCAGCCATAAATATGGTCTAATAGGCTGAACGCGGTTTCTGGGACCTCTCCACGGGTGGTCCTCATCCACACGGTGGCACTTTGTGTCATCGGGTGTTTATCGCTTGTGTTATGTCCTTGTGGGGTAAAAGAAGATAAAAAGAGAAAGCTGCAGGCTTGAAAATCGGCAAATAGTAGAATTGTTTGTTTTCTACTACTGTGTAGGCTTTGAACTAAACACCGATTTCTTAAGTCCTAACAGTTCAGTATTCATATAAGTTGAACAATTAAAACAACATACAAAAACTGTTTTTCAAATAATTGAGTAAAAAATTCGCCTTTCCGCTTCTCGGCGTATGTGACAAATAATGATATTCCAACTTCCCTGTTTTTTTTGTGTGTGTGTGTGTTTTTTTAATAGACAGTCGACAATCGATGAGTATTGAGATCAATATTATACTGACTGTCTTTAATGCCCATAACAATTAACGACACCAGCGACTGTGCGAATTTAAGAGCTTATGTTTCTTTTTCATCATCATCTTCATCATTGGAGAGCTGTTATTATTGGCCACAAATCAATTGATTGTTTGATTGATTAACTGATTGACTGGCACGTTTCCGTCATTCTAGGCGATCGTATTATAATGCGCTTTGAGAAGTCATTGGACTGACAGCCATGAAGGCATATAAAAGGTGTGGTTTGTAATACCTGCTCTTTCCAGTACCTCAGAGTTTGGCCATGACCCATACCCGTATGCAAGGTCTGGTACTTGGTTTCTTTGATAATAACAGTTGCAAAAACTGGCAGTCATTCTCAATGACACTGTATTAGCAGTCTAGATCGACAGTTAGAAAATGCTGACAACTGTCAGTGTGGAACACAGAAGATCTCAAGCAGTTAAGATTTATCTCAAGCAGTTAAGCTTATTTATTAGGAATACAAAAAGTACGTGCTTGTGATAATAATGAACTAACATACCAGACCAATTATGTGTCCTCATCTGAGTGGGCTAGGCACTCATGTACTGTATACAGATTTCTGATGTTACTAACAAAAGGTCGAAATGTTGGTCTGCAAATTTGTTGCAGTACTGATATTTTTCCTGAGTTTTATTGCAAGCACAAAAAAAAAAAAAACACGTACATGTGTTTTATAATATCTTTGTCCTTCAGCGCCTTATCATTATGATTATTATTATTATTATTTACTTGAACAAGGCATAAGGAACGTTGAAATCCCCTTTCGCCTTTAAATATGTCTTAGACCCTTCACCCTTCCAATATAAGCGACGTTGTTTTTAGAGACACTCACATACAGATATACAAACTTACTATTGCAGTGTACACTGTTCCTACCGTTCCTACCAACACGATGGACATCCACAGAGGCAAGTCAACCGCTTAGAATAAATAAAAAATATATTTCCATTGCCGAAACTATTTAAGAAACTACCTGTAACTTACACACATCAATACAAAATATGTCAAAGGTATAGTGAGGTCATCATCATAATCAGGTGCCTTGCCGACTGGCGTGGGTGATCATGCCTCTCCACATTCCGCGATCTGCTGCAGAATGTATCAGTTCGTGTGTTTGACACACCTCGATGCCATCCAACAAGACTGTCATGAAAATTCTCTCGTTATCTTTCTCTATCCCTCCTTCCACAGATCTTTCCAGTGGTCACAACATGTTCCACTTTCCCTCTTCTCATAGCATGGCCGGAAAATGATGACTGTCTTCTTCTGATATCTGTGATAAGTTGTCTTCGGGCTCCAACCTCTTTCAAACATCTTGGCTGCTCCCACATATGGTAAGGTACTAGCTCATTCAAAAAGACATTGTATCGGGAACTTTTATTTTATGCGGAATGCAGAACCAGAACACTGAAAAGGCATTATTTTTCCCACCTCTACTGTAATATTTACTTTGTAGTGAATACCGACACCTTTTTTTTCGACAATAACCTTGAATTTACCTTTAGGTTACCTATCATCATCATCTTCATCATCATCAAGTAACACTACGTGTCGTTGGGTCACCGGTTTCTGTTGACTGTGTGATCAGCTCTCTCCACCTTTGGCGGTCAGTTGCGATGGACTCCATGGTTTCATTGCCTGAGGCCTGTCCAGTCAGTCAGGTTCTGTAAGCAGGTCTTTCTTGGTCTGCCTCTTCTCCTCTTTCCCTCCACTGAGCACTGAAGTATTGTTTTTGAGAGGCCTTTAGATCTTATTACGTGTCCTTGTCATTGCATTTTCGTCTTTTCACTGTATTTAAAAAAGGTTCATAGTTGCCAATGGGCTGTATAATTTTAAGGCGAACCTCTTCGTTTCTAATGTGGTCTCTGTATGATATGCCAAGAATTTTTCTGAAACATCGCATTTCTTATGCTTGTATCTTTCTTTCAAGTTCAGCTGTTAAGGTCCACGTTTCACAGCCATATGTAAATGAACTAATAGCTAGTGCTCTGAGCAATCGAATCTAGTTTTGCATGACATGTTTTTGAATCTCCATAATGTTTGCTGCCTGGCAAGGGCTGATATTCGGGCAATCATAGACAGGATTTCTGGTCTTGACTCCAAGTTACTTAAAATTGATCTTAAATGTTTGAAATCAGTCACTTGTTTTAATTTATGGCCTTTAACGTAGATTGGTGAAATTTTGCCAGCTGGATTATTAGTCATTACATTTTTTCCCTTCATTTATTTCCATGCCATACTTGGTTGATGTTTCATCAAGTAGATTTAAAAGCTTGATTAGCTCTTGTTCTTCTCCGGCCAACCCATCGATGTCATTTGCAAACCTTAAGTTACCTATACAATTTCAGATTCATTATTATATTTGATACTATTTCACCCTTGAGCTATAGGTATAACAGTACTATTAATACAGCACTATCCATCTTCAGGACGTATTGTATTGTTCATATGAATTACTAAGATTTTTAATATATAATTTATTCATTACTGATGACCCAGTTCGTTCCGCTGCAGCCATTTTAGTAGCAGGCCACTCAGTGTTCGTTTCGACAGTAATGCGGAGCATAGAAGGTTCAATAAGCAATGGCAAACTAATGAGAGTGAAATCGCCTAGTAGAAAACTCACATAGACACACAAACTTAATCACACACATACGCAATCACGCACACACACTCAATCACACATACTCAGCCACACGCAGTCATACACACAAACACTCAATCAGACACATACTCTGTCACACACACAGACACTTAATGACACATACACACATACACACACACTACTATAACCAACAATTCCCGAGGATTCTGATGTTGTTCGCAACGGCCTGTAAAGGATACACACACACACAGGCCGACACACACACACACACAGGCCGACACACACACAGGCCGACAAACAAACACACACACATTTTATACTTAAATTCCTCTGTGATGATTTTCAATTGTGACCTAATCCTAATTTCGTTTGCCAAAAAAAAACTACCGGTCCAGCTTAAGCCACTATACATAGAAACACTGACAGTGAGTAATGACTAACCTGTCTGTAATGCCAGCGCTGGAGACAGCAGGGCTATAGTCATGTAGGAAACCTGCAGGAGACAACAAGTGAAAGTATGTTAAAATAATTAACAGTAACATGTGTACAAATAT